CCACTACTTGTTAAAGCCACTACTTGTTAAAGCCACTACTTGTTAAACCTTGCTAACCAGCAAACTGTTTGCTTATATGCTCTGTTTCCTGTTGGCTATCCGATTTCCTCTATCGGTGTCAATTTGTTACCCTCTACAGAAAAGATTTTAATTTCCATGTTAACCTTTGATGTAACACTTTAACAAATGCGGTTAGAAATTGAAAGTACAGTACATCTGCTAGTTTCCCTTTGCTTCCTCTGAGAAGTCCAAGAAATTGGTTTAAAGGATTTCCCTTCCACAAAACTAAGTTGATTCTGCCTGATTTCCAGCTTTCCAGATGACTTGTGTGATAGCATCTTTAAAAATCACTGACCGCTTCATCTCATGATAAATGTTAAGCTTAATGGCCTGGCGTTTCCAGCTTTCTAGCTTCCTATTTGAATAAAGGAGTTAAATTGACTTTTCCAATCGAACAGGACTGTCCCCGAATCTTCGAAAATTTGGGAAATTAAAACAATGCATCAGCCATATCAATATTTAATTTTTTTTAAGATTCTTGAATGTCAGTCTTTCGGATCCACGACATGTCAGCCTGCAACTCCAATAATTTGCTGATACCACTGCCCTGATGATTGTTGTTTTCCTGAATTCTTTCATCCCTTCCCTTCTCTAATTTGCAGATACCTATGGTATGTTACTTTGTATTCTTCATATTGAAGACTGATGTGAAATACCTGTTCATTCATCCATCATCTCCTTATTCTCCATGAATAATTCTTCACACAGGCTTTCTGTAGACCATATGTTTATTTTGTTGACACTTCATTTTTCTAAATATTTATACAAACCCTTGCAGTCTATTTTTCTATTTCTGGCTAACTTTCTCTCACATTCTAATTTTTTCCTCTTTTGTTGTTCAATATATTCTGTCCAGTCTTCTGCTATACCACCTGTTTTTGCACAAATTATATCTTTAAGATTCATGCTATCTTCAATCTCCTTAATTAACCACAGAGGTGTGTCTCCATCCCTTTTGGAATTTTTCTTGTTGGAACGTATTTATTCTGTGGATTCTGAAATATCCCCTTAAATGTCTGCCACTGTATCTATCTTGAGCTATTCCTCAACCAAATTTGCCAGTTCACTTTAGTTAATTCTGATTTTGTGTCCTCATAATTGTCCTTCATTAAGTATGAAATGTTTGTCTTGGACCCACCCATCTGTCCCTCAAACTGATTGCAAAATTCAATCATACTATGGTCATTGCTACCAAGTTGTTCCCTCATTGAAATTATTGATTAATTATATCTCATTGCACATTACCAGGTCGGGTATAGCCTGCTGTCTGATTGGTTCTGCAATGTGCTGTTCTAACAAATTAGCCCAAGAACATTCTGTAATCACATCCAGGCTACCTTTGCTCATTTGATTACTTCAGTCTACATGCGGATGGAAATTCCTCCCCGACAAGCTCCCATTCTTTCTTTGCTTTATTCCATCCTATTGTGAGACTGGGAAGTGTGTATACCTCTCCCTTAAGTGACTTCCTGCCTTTATAATTTCGCATTTCCACCTGAACTGTTTCTCAAGCCTGGTTTTCTAACCTTAAACCATCCTTCTCTATGCAGCTAAAGAATGGCATTCCTCCATTTTTTCCTAGCTTCTTTTCCTTCCTAAAATGTCTTTGCCCTTCAATTTTAGGTCTCAGTCTTTGTTATCCTGCACCATGTCTCTATAGTGTTTATCAGATCATACTTGTTTGTTTCTGTTTGTGCTACCAATTCATCTATTTATTTTGAATATTATGTGCAGAGCTTTTACTTTTGTTCTTAATCTCTGGCTTTATCTGTTGATTTACTATTAGATTTCTACTGTCTATCCTTTCTAGTCATGGTGTTTATCATTTTCCAAACTATTCATGCTTTTCTGTCATACTTTGTTTATCTGTTCTTGGATATACTATATCTTCCTAAATTTGATCCCATGCCCTTACAATTTAGTTTAAATCCTCGAACATCAGCCCGGTAAAGTGTAGACTGTTCGAATGGAGCAGGCCCCACTTCCTGGAGTACGAGTATGTCAGAACTCCATGAACCTGAACCTACTTGTATCACACCAGTCTTTGAGCCATGCATTGATCTCCCTTATCTGATTTTTCCTACATTGTTTGCAAGTAGCTCAGGTAATAATCTAGAGATTATCACCTTTTGGGGTTCTGTTTTTTTTTATATTGCTTTTAGCTCCTTATGCTGACTATGCTGAACCATTTTTTGGTCCTGCCTATGTCATTGGTACTATCAGGGACCATGCTGACTGGATCCTTCCCTCCCACTATAAATTCCTCTCTGTCCATGAGCAGATGTCTTCTGCTGGCACCAGCGACAAAGTCTTCAGGACTCTAGATCTGTGCCTTCAGGTAATATAGTCAATCCTCCTGTCTGTGCTGTCTGCTGTGATCTCTAAATTCCTTCTCCATTCGAATGGTTTTCAGTACCACAGTGCCATGATCAATTATCTCATCTACCCTGCAGCGCTTGCTTACTGTCATCCAAACAGGCTGAATGAACTTCAGATATGTTGGACAATTGCAGACACTGAAGCTCTTATAGTCCTGGCCTGCAGGTTCCCTTGCCACTTTAGCCGCAGTCACACTCCCCTGTCCCTGACCGCTAATCACATCAGAACTCCCTATTGTAAGTGATGTGACTGGCTTCTTGCACAGAATATTCAGGGAACTGCAATCTGTCATAATGTGTGGCAATGTGTATAGTTTGGCCTCAGTTCAAAGTCCGTGCCGAAGCTGCAAATGCTCACTGCGGACGTGTTTGCTGTGGATCATACTGGCATTGAGGAGATTGTACATGGACAAGACCCTTGAGGAATATAAAGAAAGCAGGAAAGAACTTAAACAAGGAGTTAGGAGGGCTGAAAGGGGTCACAATGTTCTTGGCAAGTAGAATTAAGGAGAATCCAAAGGCATTTCATACAGGGGTAGCTAGGGAAAGATAGGTCCACTCGAGGACAAAGGAGGGAATTTATATATGGAGCCATAGGAAGTGGATAAGGCCCTTAATGGTACTTGGTATCAGTATTCACCAAGAAGAAGGACATGGATGATGGTAAGTTTAGGAAGGGGTATATTGATATTCTAGGCCATGTCAATATTAAGGAGGTGGTTTTGGGTGTCTTAATAAACATGGCTTTACATGGGGAGGTCTTGTCTCTCAAATTAGTTAGGCGAGATCACATGGGATTCAGGATGAGCTGGCCAATTTGGAATCAAAATTAGCTTATGAACAGGAGACAGTGTGATGGTGGAGGGTTGTTTTTTGGACTGGGAGACCTGTTCCACAGGGATCGATGCTGGTTCATTTTTGTTGGTCATTTATATAAATGAGTTAGATGAGAATGTAGAAAGCATGGTTAGTAAGTTTGCGGATGACACCAAAATTGGTGATATAGTGGATGGTGAAGGTGGTTATCAAAGATTACGAAGAAGAAATCTTGATCAATTGGGTCAATAGACTGAAGATTGGCAGATGGAGTTTAATTTGGATAAATGTGAGGTATTACAT